ATGGCCTGGTCCCCAGGCCAGGAAGAAAGTTCCCTCAGGCTGGGCAGGATTCCCAGCAGCTGCTGCTCCACTCACCAGTCTGGAAGGGACCTGCCTGGTCCCCAGGCCAGGAAGAAAGTTCCCTCAGGCTGGGCGGGATTCCCAGCCACCGCTGCTCCACTCACTGGTCCAGTAGGAAGCCGCCTTGTCCCCAGGTCAGGAAGCACCATTAAATTACTTATTAAAATCTCAGTCGTCATGTTAAACAGGTGGCTGAAAGAGAGTCCAGGGACAAGTGTGTAGTGAAATACAAATCTTGGTTTCATCAACATGTATTTAAAGCCCTGAGCTGAAATAGCATCTCCAAGGAACTAAATAAGATAGAAAATAAAGATTCATGGTCTGGTGAGGGCCCACTCCTCATGTGTGGATGGCACTGTCTTTTGCTGTATCCTCACATGGCACCAGGAGAGAGGAATTTCCTTTTTTGAGACAAGGTCTCACTAATCACTGAGTTGTCCAGGCTGGGCTTCAACTTGAGATCCCCCTGCCTCAGCCTCTCAGTGTCCTAGGATTACAGCACGTGCCACAACATCCAGCTAGGAATTTTGTTATAAATGTACAAATTCCATTTATTTGCCCGCATGACCAAATCACCTCTAAAGGCATCACCTTCTCATGCCAACTCCAGGAGTTAGGATTTCAGAGTGAGAATTTCAAAGACATAAATACTGGATCCACTGCACAGGGGCTCAGTGTCCAGGGCCAGATAAGGTCAGGATCCAGAGCCTGGACACTTGATTCCCAGGCTACATCTCCTCCTCCTCCTCCCCCTCCTCCTCCTCCTCCTCCTCCTCCTCCTCCACCTCCTCCTCCTCCTCCCCTTCCTCCTCCTGCTCCTCATCCCATGGGCTCTTCACTCTGTTTCTTTTCCTCATCTACTCTGCACTTTTAGGTCAGGCCTGATGCTCTCCTGGGAAGTGCTAATTGGAGTTTCCACCATCTGCCATGAAAGTCGTCTCCAACAAACAGCCTTCCATGGGGACTGACTATCTCTGAGAATGCTGTTGGACCATAAGGGGCTTCTCTGTCTTGTTAAGCACTGAAACCTGTCATGAGTTTTCATGGAAACTGAGAACTAGATTCTGCCCTCACTCTCTGTGTGTTGCTTCTGTTTGCATCACCAGAAGCTGTTTATCCACAGCAGCCAGGAAAATCAAGTCAATAAATGACTGAGGTAAGTGCAGCACTGTCCACAAAATGGGGGGAAAGTCACAAAATCTGTCTGGCCCTATTCAGACAGATGGGAAGGGATAGGAAGGCTGGCTGGTTTTGCACGGGGGATGGGAAAGGATCTTGGATTAGGATTGGGATTTGGAGGGGAAGTCAGGAGTGAGGCTGGAAGCAGGAGGAGGTCTGTTTTCTAACTGTGAGCTGACTCTGAGTGAGTGAGAACATGTTGATTCACATATGAGAAAATTTCATCTCCCTAATATAAATTATATATATATATATGGATTGTGGTTTATGCCAGCCACTAGACTTTATAATTACTTGCTACATTTAGGTTATCTATTTTATTAAGACTTTATAATTATTTAACTACATTCAGATTATTTTATTAGGGTACATTTGTTAAGTGCATGTATGTACATATATGTACATATACATACACAGTATAAATATATATATGTTAAATTCTATTGTTATTTCCATTTCAAAAAACAAGAAAGATGAAGTCAGTCACCCAAGATCACACAGTTGTTGAGGTGCAGAGCTGGCTCCGAAACTCATGGTTTTAACCGTTACACTGTAAGGCTTTGATACTTCCTCTCTTGGCACATGATGAAAATACTTCCTAAACCAGTCTTGATGCCCTATTGATCCTCACTTCCTGGGATTCTCATGTCATACACCACAGTGCACTTCTTTTCTTACCTGTGTTACAGAGCATTCCCTTCTTTTCTGCTTTTGAAATTGACAGATAATTGTATAATCTATAGGGTACCACAAGATGTTTTAAAATACGTACTCACTATGGAATAGCTAAACCAAGATTATTAGCAAAAGTACCTCGTCTCACTTTTATGGGGAGCATATTTCGTATTTACTTTCTTGATAATTTTGAAGTATATATTATTATTATTTATAGTCAACATGCTGTACAAAGGCCTCAAAACCTTACCAGTGTTGCCTCACTGAAACTCTGCCCTCCGATCATCTCCTCAACTTCTAATAACTTCTCTACCTCTATGAGTTGACTTTCTTTAAATTCACATATATGTAAGATCATGTAATAACTGTTGTTCTGGACCTGGCTCATTTCACTCACAACAGTGCCCTCTGGGTTCATCCATCACTGTGGTTTGGACAGCCAATGTCCCCTGAAGGATCTGTGTTAAAGGCATGGCCCCAGATGAATGGCTGGGAAATGGTAGAACTTTAGGAGGTACGATATACTGGGAAGTCCTGCAAGTCCCTGGGAATGACCCTTAAAGGGCACTGTGGGATCCCAGTCTACTTTTTCTTTTGGTTTTTGACTATGAAGTGAGCACTTGGCTCCAATACATGCTGACCAACACGTGGCCCATGTGATCACAAATGTCAAAATCTCCTCCTAACGCTGAATAGCGTTCCACACTGCACAGCTACTGCATGTTCTTCATCCACTCATCCACTGATGGACATTTAAGTTGGGTCTACATCTGGCCACTATGCATAATGCTACATTGAATATAGGAGTGGAGATGTGTCTCTGACATACTAATTTTATTTCCTTAGATATATATATATTATATATATATTATATATATATTATATATATAATATATATATATATATATATATATATAATTGCTGAACCATATGTTGATTCTATTTTTAAACTTTTTTTTTTTTTGTCTTTTTGAGACAGGGTGTCACTATGCAGTTCAGGTTGGCCATGAGCTCACTTTGTAGCCCAGGCTGGTCTCAAACTCTCAACAATCCTCCTGCCTCAGCCACCCAAGTGCTGGGATTACAGGTGTGCCCCATTACCTCGCTCTTTTTAGATTGCTAAAGAACCTTGAGACTGTTCTCCACATGGCTGCACTAATTTACATTCTCTCCAACAATGCTCAAAGTTTCTCTTTTCTCCATATGCTCACAAACACTTGTAAGCTTTTGTCTTTTTGACAAAAGTCACCCTAGCGGGTATGAGGGGATAGATATCTTGCTGAGGTTTTTTGCTCTGATGAATGGCAAGGTTGAGTATTTTCTCATACATCTGTTAGCCATTTACAATGTCTACTTTCAAGAAGTGTCTTTCCAGGTTCATTGCCATTTTTAAATCAGGTTTTGCTTTCTCACTACTGCTATATAGTAGACAGATCATGGTTATAAATAGCCTTGGCGTATTTACCAGACCAATCAACTGGGTTCTGCACCCTAACAAGGCCTTATGTGCCACATTATATGTGAAAAAGTGACTTCATTTGCTGAGTAGCAAAGATGAGTCACTTAACCCACTCCCTTTCATTTCTCAGGCAAGGGAAGATAAATCTCCCAAGAATTCATCCACAGGCAAAATGCTTTCAGATTTGCAAAGGAAGTTTTATCTATGCAACTTCTGTGCCTCCCTTAACTCTGTGACAGATTTAGCTAAACACCGTTGATGACCGGGCTGTAGAAGCAGGTGACCACTTCAGAGAGCGAAGCAAGCTACTCTACTCCCTAAGTGTCTGCTCATCACATATTGCCTTTTTTCACTCTTAATAATGTGATAGTCTTTTTATTTAAGTGAAAATTCCTATTTCTCCTTTAGGCACTTTACACAGAATGCCATTTAAGACTTATAAGGAACTCAGACAGAAATAGACAGAAGTGATCCTCCAAAGTAAACAAAATGCATGCAGCACACCATCCCAGAGTTATAAACCACTTAGAAAAAGTCCCGAATTTTAGATTTGCGATTGGATGAAATCTCACATTTTGTACAAGAAAGTTTCCAATGGAAATATTATTCTTCCGTGGGTGCCAGGAAACAGCTGCTTATGTGAGGAGAAGACCATTTAGAAGAGTGATGAGAAGCTTTAATTAAAGCCCGTCTGCTGTTTCACTGTTTCTGACTATTAAACACAGTTTGCGTTATTAACTTATACTTGGAAGTGTAATTGCCTTCAGGTTTGTTTGTTGGGCTGCGAGCCTGCTGTTTCTCTACACTGTCTTCTTTTTATTCTTCCGTATCAGACTCTATGAGGACTAAAAAGGAAGTAAGCTCGATATTTCATATAGTTATCTGTACATGATAAAAACATACGGTGTTATCCACCATCTTTTAAAAAATTTAATTACATTTTTTAAATGGGGAAAAAAGTTCAAATTCCCAAAACATTAAGGAGGTCAATTGTTACTGAATCGAGATGCCCAGATGTTCTAACAACATCAGATTAATGAGTTGGGTGAAAAACTAAGTGGGAGGCTCACGGTGTCCCAGAATTATAACAACCTTTCAGATGGATCAGAACCACGATTCCCAAAGAGAGCCCTGAGGAGTCCTCATACTAGTGGGTGCTCGGGCTGATAAAGGATGTGTTGATATCGCAGCCTCGTAGGTCCTTCCTCTGCTTCCCTCCCACGAAGGAAATCATGGACATTAACAAGTTTAGTGCCCTAAGAAGGCTAGGATTTGGAAAGTTGTTTGTTTGTTTGTTTGTTTGTTTGATGATAAGCTTATGGAATTTTGGGCATCTGGATTTTTGACCATAGAAAACTTCTGATTCTCACCTCAATCATCCTACAGAAGCAGCATCTTCACTGAAGACACAATTGGAAAAAGCCTAAAAGGCTATTTTTTAATTATAAGAATTAGAAAAATATAGAATAGTCATTGGATATTTTTATAATGGAAGTTCTGAAAAATTTTTTAAACCCACAAACATTTGACTATGTAAAAATTAACTTTTGTGTACACCCTAAGTCTTTCTAGTAAAGAAAAAGGTTCCCTAGTAATAAAAACAGAAAGAACATTAAAGATTTTTTTTTATTTAAAGAAAAGGAAACAAAAAAATACATGGAGATAAAAAAGGGTAGAAATAAAACAAAATTACAGAAAAACAAACAGTAAGAAATTGCTGGTTGATAAGTTACATATTGTCATCTTAGAAATAGCTGTTCAGGTTACAAAATTAAAGTATTTAAAATGACATTCAAAAAGTTACACTGCAAACAGTTCTGCTCAATGATCGAACAAAAACTCAGTAATATGGTTTATCAGTCCTACATACTTGTTTTACATCTCAAAGAGGGTAAGATTAAACATATCAAAACAGAACAAAACAGTTAAAAAAACAATTTAAAGAAATACAGATTTCAAAGCAAGTCCACTGGAGATCTTCACTGTCTATCTGTCTCTAGTTTCTTCCAAATAGTTATCCCCATCTTCACCCACATTATATACTTATTGCATATTATAGAACTAATCAAATCATTACAGGATGATTAAGGCTTTTTAGGTCTTCAAGATCCAACATTAGAGAAGATAATAATAGCTACTATCTCATGTCTCATTCTCTTCGTGGTAGCCATCCCCATATCTACATATGCTGAAATTGAACTCAAGAGACCAGACCAATATCATTCTAATCAGCGAACAATAGTATTGCTAGAATTTATATCATAATGCTACAAAATTAGCATTGGGTTTCTTAGCGTCTCTTCTTCAGAGTATCTGTTCATTACATCTTGCATTATATAATCTGTTCCTGTAAATAATTTTTTTAAAAAACTCATGTGTGAATTTCTACATATATATCTATCCTCTCTGTATTATAGGGAAAAACAAGTCGTAACAAGACAGCAAAACAAATTCCTAGAAAAACATGCAATGGATAAGACATATAAGACCACAATATAGGTGATCTTCCGTAGTTACTATGTTTTCTCTTGTTATTTTCAATAGATTTGTCCACAACATTGGCTTAATATAGTTAAACATAGTATTACCTATTTTTATAAAAACTCAACTTTGAAAGCATTGTAGGATTTGAGAGCTGTTAATAATTAATACCAGTATGGATATCCTTTACATCTTGTCATCTTCAGAGTAGTTGCCTCTACTTTTAGGGTTGATACTAACAAGCATAACAAATTCAAATAAAATCAGCCAAGGCCAACCCATGGACTTATGAATCGGATTCAATTAAGATCAGTCATAGTAAGACAATGTAAGTAATACAGGATTTCAGTTTAAGTTAATAGGAAAGTATGGATAGTTACCATGGTATAACCTGCTGTTTTTGGGTCAGATGTCTGTGCCCTCAAATCTGACATGAATGGACAGACCAGAACAAATTAAATACAAACTAAACATGGCGATAAGACTACTGTGTCTTTTAAATTCTGATACAATATTAACAATGACCTCTGCCTTTTTTTATAGTGTTTCAGAGCTGTCTACACTAAAGACTATAGCTTACTGTCTCAGCCTCATGTCTGCTACTCCACTTTTCTGCTATAATTTGTCCACCTTATTCCCTCATTCCACTGTCTGCCCCATTCATTGAGGCCTCTTTGCCCTGTTGCTGGAATGCTGGTATCCCTTCCTCTCTTTCTCTGGAATGTCCTTCAGCACTCTCTGTAGGGTTGGATTGGTGGCCACGAACTCCCACAGTCCCTCCTTGTCTTGGAAGCATCTTATTTCTCCATTAATTTTGAGAGAGAGTTTTGACGGGTATATGAGTCTTGGTTGCATATTATTTTCTTTCAGGACTTGGAATATTTCTCCCCATTCCCTTCTTGACTTAAGAGTTTGTGTTGATAAGTCTGTTGTTATTTTGATAATTTTCCCATTGTAAGTAATCTGCTTCTTTTCTCTGGCTGCTTTTAATATTCTGTTCTTTTGGTGGGTTTCTGGAATCTTGATTATTATATGTCTAGGCATAGATCTGTTTTGGTTGTAGGTAGCTGGTGTTCTGTATGCCTCTTTTATCTGGATATCATTTCTTTTTGCTATACGTGGGAAATTTTGCTTTAATATATCTGTGAATATTCTTTGTATTTCATTTTTGGTTGCTCCTGCTTCCTCACTCACATTCTTTATTCTTCAGTTAGGTATCCTTTTGTCATCTTCTAGCCTTTGAATTGTTTCTTTCTGGTTCCTTGTTATTTTTAAGAGGTTTTTTTCTTTCACAATCATATGTCATAAATCTCTCTTCAAGTTTCAGAAGGCTGGCTTTAGTTTCTGTCAGGATATTTTGTCAGGGTTCAATGGAGTTGTTAGTTTCCTGGTAATCTTTTTGGATCTGTTTCATGTATTCTAAGTTATGTTTAAATTCTTCTTCAGAAGTTTCTCTTTCTTTTCTGACTTCCTCAGTTCTTCCATCTGTGTTCTCTTGGGTGGGGCTTGTCATTTCTTTAATTAATCTCTTTATATCTTGCCTCACAGATCAGGAGTACAGCTTTAAATTCATCTATGAAGTCATGGAGGTATTTTTTAATTTCGATTGATGCTGTGTCCAGTATTGGATGGTTACTGTGCTTGTTCTCTTCAGTGTTTACTTCTCCTGGGCTTATTTTCTCATGTTGGGCAGCTGGAGATCTTTTTTTATTTTTATCTCTTGTCGTGTTTCTGGTTTCTTTCAGACTGGAGTGTCCTGGGGGGTCTCTGGCCCTCTCCATATTGCTTAGGGCCTTTCAGAAGCATGCTGACTTGAGTTTTTGCTGTTCTCCCCAATTTGCTGTTATCTGGGGTAGGCAGGGATGCAGGGACAGTGCAGGCTAGCCTCCAGCCTCTGTGCCAGTCAATCCGGAAATTAGGCTGTACTTTCTGGATGTCACAGAGTTGTGACTATTTTGTATCTGCTTATTGGGCCCCAAACAGAGGCTTGGTTTAGCCCCAGCAGATCCTGCCAGCTCTCTGTGCCAGAAGCAGCTGACTAATGTCACCATGGCACAGGGTTCTGCCCAAATCCCAGCTGTTCTCTTCCAGACCTCTCTGTGCCAGGAGCACCAGGACAACGGGTCTGCCCAATTCCAAGATGTCTTCCACTAGAAAAACATTAAAGATTAATAAGGTGTATGTATTAGAAAATAAAAAAGAACATCAACAAAGTGTCACAGAAGAAGTAGAAATGACCGGTAAGTCTGAGATCTCTTAGTCTTACCAATATTCAATAAACGCAAACAGAATAAGATATACTGTTCTTTTACCAAATAGGCAAATCATTTTTAAGCACTTTTGTATAGAAATAGAGCAGCAAAGGCACCTTCCTGTCCTCCCTTATGGGCAAATTTTCTAATAGGTCATATCTTTTGCAAATTATTTTCATTCCTGGGTTTATATTTGAATAGATTTATGTACATACTGTTCATTATATTGAAAAATGTCTGACAGTATAAAAATTGTTAAATAAAATGGTACCTAATGGAAAATATTCCTTGCTACCGCACACAAGAAAACATTTTCCATGTAGTAATATAAGAAAAAAGGGCCACAATATAACATCCAGTGGGAATAGTTGTCATTATATTTCAACTGTATTTCAATAATTATATGCATATATGAAAATTGATTGAAAGGAGATATGTTAACACAAATAATGCTTCTCTCTGGGTTTTATATCCAGTGAGTTTTCTAAATGCTCTGCCATAAAAGGGAAATATAATTAGTCTTGCCAAGTAAACAGCTGACTTCATCTTTATTAATTATCTAAGAATTGCCTCTAATTAGCACATTGCTTATACGAAACAGGTGCTAGTTTTGGAGAGTTCTGTTTTTTAATTTATTAACCCTACTCACATCCTTAACTAAAAGTCTTTTCGTATATTTTAGAAAAGATTGTCCCCCAGGACATATATATATATCACCAAAAATATAGACTGATATTGATTGACTCTGACTCTTCATTGAGGAAAAGACCTGAAACATAAAACAGGACCAAGTCCTGAATAAGAACTAAGAAAACAGAGAAATTTTTCTAGGCTCCACTTGACTTAGACATAGAAGAAAAGGTAACACTTCATAGAAAGCATTTGGAGAAGAGCTGAGGAAATCATTCCCTTTTGCCCATTTAGTTTTTATTTGTTTTAGACAGTCATTCTCTATGGCCATTCTTCCTCCCATGGCCTTAAGAGAGGCAGAGAGTCACACAACAAACATCCAGGTAATCTCAGATGCCCTCTGCAAGAGCACACATGGAGCCAGTGCCCTGGCCTGAACTTCAGCCACCTTTACCCTGCTCGGCCTTACTCAGGTTCATGAATAAACACCACATCTCATGTACGTATTTAAGATCAGAGTGAATTCCGGGAAAGGAATGCTTATGGAGCACTCCAAGGTGACACAGCACCCTGTCAATCACACCCAGAGATTCAGGAGAGGCGCCTGGTTTGAGGAGCATGGCCCTTAAATTCCAGAAGCCTGATGTATCTGGGGGCTGCTGTGTGCCATGTGCTGTGCCTTTGCTTTCCTGTCACCCAGCACCACCGTCTGCTCATGCCATATTTTCCTCAGCACAGGCTTGCACAACTTTCTGTGATCTCCATAAATGTAACAGCTTTCCACTCGCCATCAGTGTGCACCTGTAATTCTTCGGTCACCATACACAAGAGCCTGGATTGTGCCTGCTAAGTTCATCACTGGGAACAGTAGTAGTAGGAAACTATACATGCAAAGAAATTCTAATAGTGTAGTGCCCGCTTCTGAAAAGTTCCAGGTCCTTGTGCATTTTATTTCACCAATATTTCCCTACTGCTCCAATTTAGCAGTTTGTTATTGAGTGCCAATATTATCATTGCCAAGACTGAACATATAGCAACTCTATTAGATCTTGATTCCCTAGAACTGTGTGCTAAGATTACAATGCATTCTCATTTTGAAATACAAATTCATACTCCTATTTCATCACTGTTTTCCTGGAGTAAAGTTAATAAAAGATGGAAATAAGAATCTCCTTCATGGCTTTTAACTTTAAAAGCATGTGATGCATTTCCACTGCTTACCAGTTATTTCCCATTCTTTACCATCTAACCTCAAAATCAGATGGAAACTGCATGGCACCCGAGTCATTTTTGGAGTCATGAGTTTCTCACTCTTATCCTAAAGTTACAATGCAAGTTCATCCCACTCCATAGTTAGAGCTCCTCAACAGATAAAACAAAAGATCGCTATTTACATTACAAAAGGATCCGTCTATCAAAGAACTTACTGTAAACATTTCTTTAAAGGCTGGCTGCTCTGTTCCAATTATAACGCTTCAGTTTAGAATAATTTCAAGTGCCTGTAGCTTTTCAGTCTTGAGCCTGGCTCCTCAATATGCCATGCACGTCTACCTCAGTCGGTGTCAGTGCCTTCCAGAGCAAAAAGCCCCTCATGTGTGAATCAGTAAATCAGGACAGAGAAGTAGATGCAGTGAAGGAGATACCTAGAGAACATGCAGAAAACACAGAGTGAGTTAAGAGACAGAGATTCTGAAAAGCCTTAAAATTCTCAAGTATCTGTTGGGATAGCAAAACAGAGCCCTCTATAGGATGCTCTCCCACACACTCACACACATATATAAATATAATCCCCACCCCAGAACGTCTTTTGAGGTGAGCGTCTCCATCTACTTGTTAGTTCTCAGCTGGCAATGAACTTCAAACCTAAATCTCAATAAATAGTTGCTAAATGAAAGAATTAACAAATGAACCAAACAACACATTTGAATAAATTGCCACTGTCTTGGGCAGAGTTACTTTTGCTCCCCTCCCTTTGCCTAGCATCCTAAATCCTAAAGAAAATCAACGTCTAAGAGACTCAGCATGCTAGCATACTAAATAATCTTTGTATACATTTGAAGAACCCAGGGCGTCTGATGACCCTGAGATGACACCACAGTGTGTAATGTCCCTCCTTATTCTTCAGTCCTACTCATGTGACTTGTGGAGTTTAACTCACAGAAAAGTAGCATGCAGGAGGCCAAGGTCCATTCCAAAGTTCCCACTAGAGGAAAAAACAAAAAGAAGACATGCCGTGGGTGAGTGCCTACCCAGGACATTACCTTTCTGTCCATTCCCCTGAACTCTCCTGCTCTCCCTATGAAATCCCTTTTGTGTATCTGAGTTCCCTAAAACAGTCTTTTATTTGGGTAGGGGCCATAGCCCCTCTCAGTCTTCATAGGGTGCTGGCCTTAAATCTACTTGATTTCCTTCTCGCCGGCTCTCACATCCACTATTGGCTTTCAAGCAGTGAGCAGCTGGACCTGGGTCCAGTAACATGGAATGCTAGTTTGGGTACCCATGGGAAAACAGGGGCAAGGAATGCCACAGGTACTAGTATCTATTTTTGTGCAATCTCTAATACAAAACAATCAAATCACTATTATTGATAAAATAATTATTAATTCTCTGTTTTGACATAGTTATTTATGTTCAGTAGTACTTAGAGGTAATCTATTTAGTATCCATGACTACCAAGATATCTTAAGCTACAGACTCCATCCAAATCCACTGATCAGAAGCTAGGCTGTTAGTCATATGCTGACTCACTCCGAGCCCTATGACCCATTCTAGGTTATCACCAACAGCCCTTTCTCAGAGAGAGGATTCCTCCTGCGGAACCATGCTCTCTGCCTATACACGGACAGAGCGCGTGTCTTGTTACTTTTCTCTCATTGCTGGGAACACCTGGCACCTGACATTGAGGAAAGAAAGGTTTATTTAGCTCGCAGGTTGTGGAGGAGATCTCAGTCTGTTATCCATGTCTCTGAGGCAGGATGGCACATGGCAGAGAGCAATATTCATGGCGGTGGAAGGCAGCAAAAGCAGAGCAAAAGGGGTTAAAAAATAAAAAGAGGAACAAGTCTCTTTCCCTCCCTTATATTATAAACCAGCGATCCACCCCAGGGCGGGTACAGCACTCACACAGCCAATCTTAGCACTGGACAATGAACCAATCACAAACTCTAGATTCAACCACCTCCAAAAAGCCTGCCCTCCATGACCACATGAGTCTTTGTGGGGACATCCAGACAAAAACCATAGCAGCATCTGCCAGTGTGGTCTGTGACTCTCTCCCAACACTTGCCTATATGCTTCTCAGAGACGCCAATTGTACTAAGAACAGCAATAGATTTCCACTTCAGTGATCCATTTTAACTGGGAATAAGCTGTAATAAATGCAGAGAACCCTCAGAAACACTTCTGAGATTCATGTTCCCACAGCCAAAGGTCAGTTCCTATGCTGTAAACCTACAAGCTGATTCCAATAGGTAGTATGACTTCTATACCTCCTGTTTTTGTACTCAAATTTCCATTATTTTTGGTAACGAAGGACAAAGAAGAAGTAAATAATTAAAATTCACAGATGATCCCAAACCTGGAATTTTTGAGCAGTAAATTTTGCCCACAAACTCTGGATCAAAGCAGCCCAGCAAGAAGCCAAATTACAGAGCTGCATAACTTCAATGTCAACTTATTTTTATTCTTCCAACAAGCCTGCCAACCTTCTATTTTGCCATTTACCCTGCTGCTATATCAGGTTTCCAGCATAGGCACTTATTAGGCAAAGCAGCAAAATTCACATGTCAAGAGAAAAGGCCTATAAAATTATCCTACACAAAGGTGAAAATTGTCTTTGTCCTTTAGGCTACCATAGTTCTGGGCTTCCTGAGAGGTCTCTCGTAGCGCTCCCTGTGTGTCCTTCATTCATAACAAAACAGATTTGTTAACTAGCTAAAAAGTACAGAATCCACATGTGGCTGGCAGATTCCAGTACATCCCCCAAAGATTTTCATTCAAACTGCCCTGCAGTCAGCAAGTAACAGCAAGAACAAAATAAATATCCAAGAAACATTGAGCAATCTGTATTTTAAATAACTGCAAATGGGCCATGTCTCTCAGATATAACAAATTGTGGAAAGTTTTAAGAGGATTTTTCTTTTGCTTGCTTCTAGAAGATGCATGCTCCTAAAAATGCATCCTGCTTATTATCTCTAAAATCATTTGCTTGAACCATTCAGTATGGTAACAGAATTACTCAGAATATCATCACCAGTTGTCTCGGATAAAGGAACGGTGATCACTTTTCCCCAGACCCTAATCTCCAAGTCATTTATCACATCTAGTTATCTTTTTGCACTATTCCATCCTTCTTCTCTACAGCTGCCATCTACAGCAATTCCTAACTAATTCTTTATTTCTGTCATCTTCCTCATCTGCTTATCAAGTTCTTAAAATCATGTCATTCCGTTGTTTAAAAACTGCAATGCTCAAGTTGTGAAAAGAGCTCTATATATATTTTGGGAAAAAATGCTTCTGCTATAGTATTATTTGGAAAAGGCTTGAGTTCTGAACTTTCTTTCTCATCCAAATCTACCAGGGTGTGAGGATTTTCCAGCACAATAGACAAGCAAAAAGAAAGAAAAAGAAACCTTCATTCAGGACATGAAAAGGAGGGTACAATTCATGGGGCTGGGGTCCTCCTCTGGCTGCGACAAGCAGGCAGAAGATTACATGAGGAGGAGTTCAGGGCAGGCATTGATGATGCATGAGGAACTGACTGGAATTTTCTCCACATTCACAGGAAAGGAAAGAACAAGCTGTAATCAGGACTGAGGGAGGAAGATGTGGTCATCAGGGTAAGTGTTTTTGCTTTGGTCTTCCACCACGTTAGACCACTGCCATAATGTTCAGGGATTTATACTAGGGCAGAAAACTTTCACTTTGGACTTATATCCTCTCATCTCCTTGACTTAGCCCTAGCCAAGCCCATGTCACCATGAAAATGCCAACATTTTCATGAGTGTTTCACATATTCTATAAAGATTGTACATGAATTTTATACTTTAAATTTTGTTTTATTTTAATTGACACATAATAGTACAAATCAGTGGGATACAATGTGATATTTCTATAGATGTATTTTATAACCAGAAAATAAACAATAAACAATAAGCATTATTTTTAAGCCACTGCATACTACATAAAGATCATTAACCTTAGTCTGATGTTTGAACTCTTCTAAAATTTAGGTTTAGCCCACATTTTTTGCTGTTGTTATTCCATATAAATTTTAGGACTCTTCAGAATCCCTTTAAAGCCGATCACCTGGGAAAGGAAACACCCAGAATCCCAGGATGGGGTTGGGGGTGGGAACATTCCAAAGAAATATGCCTGAGAGCTCTAAAAGGTAAATTCTTCCAGCCACGTTGTAGGAAAAAAATGGAATAAAACAGCAGTGAGATAAGGACTGGGACAAAGCTAAGGACTGTGTGGTCCTTGTGCAAAGCCTGGAGGAGAAAATCCTTGCAGCCAGCACAGGCTGAAGTCAGCAGTGTTCTGCAAGACCCCTCAGGAGCTGTCCACTGCGTGGGAGACTCCGTGGGCGAGGGTGTCCCTCACTACCCTGGCTGCCTGCAGACTCAGAGTCACACAATGCCAACATAATCGCTGAAACAGAATAGCTGAGATGCACATCTACTCACCACTCCAGGTCTCCATGCCTGGTCCAGCCTCATTCCTGGCTCTCAGATTCCCCAGGCACCCCAAGATTTAAGCTAACAAGCCCTCAGGACAATCATGGCTGCTTATTCAACCATTCTAGCATTCTAGAATGCTAGAGAGATAGAGTGGGAGAAAGTTGAGCTGATAAAACAAAGAAATAAGTAAAACATTAAAATACAGAGACAATGGATTCTAGGCATAGGAAGAACTTAGAATAGAAGCAAGAAAAATGATAGCAAAGAGAAAATAAACAGGGAGATATGTAACATGCAAAGTGGTAGTGTCTAGGAGAAGTGATATGGAGGGGAAAGGACACTAAGTAAGAACACTTCTTAGTGGGAAGGAAACAGCTTGTTGATCAAGAATTTGGTTACTCATGCTTTCCTAGTGAGGTGAGGTCACAGCAAGGCTCTGTTTCCTTGACTAAAATGAAGACTGTGACTGCCACATGAAACAAAGAATATTGCCTGGGGATCGCTGTGTAGAACATGAGCTAAAGAAGGATGTTTCAGTTTAAAATTTGAAGGACTTCCAGGAAACAAAGAAAGAGCTTCTCCAAGATTTGGTGTCCAGACACTGGAATATAGCAACATGAGAAAGAGAAGAAAGAAGGAAATGGGTCCCCAGGACCCAGGGAGGATCTTAAGCAAGAATTAATGCCTACAAAGAGAGTTTAGAGAGAAACTGCAACAAAGAAAGAGAGGGAGGCAGGCAGTGCTTTCTTCCTGGCCCACATACACTACATGGGAGGGGTTGTTTGAACCTGCAGATAGATGCCTAGTGGCTGCTGGTAACCCCAGAGGCCTCCACAGAGAAGCACACCAGGGGAGCAGAGTGATAGACTGTAGTGACTGGTGAGTTGGTCCCCTGGAGACTTCCTGCAAGAGAGAGTGATTGACCAAGAGCCATCTTGGAGAGAGGCCAACTGAGTTTGGGACTCAGAGCAGCTGCTGGATCTACCTAGCTGAGTTCAAGCCCACAGGGTTGCAGGGATGGCTATGGGCTGGGCAGGCCTGGTTCCAGCCACACAACTGGAGGCCAGCCTGAACTGCAGTGAAGTAGGGGTGCAGGATCACTAGGGTTGCCCCCTAACACAGCATGGAGCTGCTGCAGGCTTCCTAGGATTGGTGAGCATGGATCTGGACTCTGCCTGCCCATATTATCTACCTGTGGCAACAGAGACATACCTTAAAAGGGACATATTTTTCTTTTTTTATTGGTTCTCTATTTTTCTTCGTTATTTGATCTTGTTTTTGTATCAGTGTGAACAATGTTTCTAGGTTGTTCTGTTGTTTTTCTGTTCCATTCTTGCTTGTATTTCTTCCCTCTCTCATTCCCTTCTTTCTTCTGCACCAGCTTCCCAGTTTTGTGATCCTCCTTTGTCCTCCAGCTTGCTTCTAATCTTTTCCTTTTCTTTCATTTCTCTATTTTTCATGCCAATCTCTTTTAAATTTTCTCCCCTGAGAATAAAATTGCCATACTGTGGGCTTATTTACTACAT